ATAGCTCCACGGTGGAAGGCAAGAAGGTGTTTTAGTGAGGCAAAGCTCTATGGAATTCACCCATTAATTCCAAAAAGAAAGATTGAGCGTTTTTTCCGACAAGCAGAGAAATGTTTTATAGTGTTGCTGGAACACAGTCAAGGGCGAGGTAATTCAGGCGAATCTGCAACTTCACACCCCAACGAGTGCAAAATGAATCAATTTATTTCTCCTTCTTGTTGAACAATGGTTCGGCCACACAGACTGAGCACGGTGCTCACCTCACTGCTCCACAACTGGCTGCAGGGCGACTGGAGGGTGCCCAGGTGAGGTGACCCCTGACCTTTAGAACCAGGAAGTCTATGAGGATTCTAATCACCACTCTACATCACTGCATCTGCCCCTTCTACCACCCCCTCTTTTTACCTTCTCATTATTCCAAACTACACTATATATACATCAAGTATGTGGACACCCCTTCAAATAAGTGGATTCAGCTATTTCAGCCCCACCCGTTGCTGACAGGTGTATAAAATCGAGCACACAGCCATGCAATCTCCATAGACAAATATTGGCAGCAGAATGGCCTTACTGAAGAGCTCAATGACTTTCACCGTCATAGGATGCCACCTCTAAAACAAGTCAGTTCGTAAAATGTCTGCCCTGCTAGAGCTGCCCCGGTCAACTATAAGTGCTGTTATTGTGAAGTGGAAACATCTAGGAGCAACAACAGCTCAGCCACAAAGTGGTAGGCCACAGAAGCTCACAGAATGGGACCGCCAAGTGCTGAAGCGCATAGCGCGTAAAAATCGTCTGTCCTCGGAATACATCAAAGACATGGTTTCCATTCCGGCAATTATTATGAGCCGTCCTCCCCTCAGCAGCCTCCACTGCTCTGGAAGCAACGTCAGCACAATAACTGTTCATCGGGACCTTCATGAAATGGGTTTCCATGGCCGAGCAGCCGCACACAAGCCTAAGATCACCATGCGCAATGCCAAGCGTCGGCTGGAGTGGTGTAAAGCTCACCGCCATTGGACTATGGACCAGTGGAAACGCGTTCTCTGGAGTGATGAATCACGCTTCACCATCTGGCAGTCCGACGGATGAATCTGGGTTTGGCGGATGCCAAGAGAACGCTACCTTCCTGAATTCACAGTGACAACTGTAAAGTGGAGGAGGAATAATGGTCTGTGGCTGTTTTTCATGGTTCGGGCTAGGCCCCTTAGTTCCAGTGAAGGGAAATCTTAACGCTACAGCATACAATGACATTCTAGACGATTCTGTGCTTCCAACTTGGTGGCAACAGTTTGGGGAAGGCCCTTTCCTGTTTCAGCATGACAATGCCCCTGTGCACAAAGTGAGGTCCATACAGAAATGGTTTGTCGAGATCGGTGTGGAAGAACTTGACTGGCCTGCACAGAGCCCTGACCTCAACCCCATCGAACACCTTTGGGATGAATTGGAACACCGACTGCGAGCCAGGCCTAATCGCCCAACATCAGTGCCCGACCTCACTAATGCTGTTGTGGCTGAATGGAAGCAAGTCCCCGCAGCAATGTTCCAACATCTAGTGGAAAGCCTTCCCAGAAGAGTGGAGGCTGTTATAGCAGCAAAGGTGGGACCAACTCCATATTAATGCCCATGATTGTGGAATGAGACGAGCAGGTGTCCACATACTTTTGGCCATGTAGTGTATTTCCTCTTTCTCCCCATCTCTCCTTCCCTCTGTACCTCTCTGGGCTGGTGAGAGGGAGGCTTGGCCTGACCTGACCTGATGTTTAAGCAGAGAGCAAATGAAGCCAGGAACAAGATGTCCCTATGGCCCCTGGTTGTTGTTTTTGCCATGTGGATGTTCAATTCAATACTTTATTTATTCCCTCAGGGGCAGGGTTTTACTCCAGCTAAGGGGTCAGCTGGGTTTATTGTATCAACAACAGTTCTGCATCAGTTCTCTCGTCTCGCTTCCTTTCCTAACATGCTAGAACCTAAAAATTGAGCTCCTGGCTGAAAAGTTAAAAAGTACTGAAGTGTAAAAGTCATGGAGGAAGTAGAGCGAGGAAATCAATAAGGAGAGTGTACGCTGCCCCTAGAAACACATCACAATGACTTCCTCTGCCCTCTCACCCAGATCCCCCAGCCCTTATTCATATAATTATATAGTCTGTCATTTTTTAAATATCTCTCCTCTCTTTCACACTCTCTCCCAAATCACTTTCTCCTCACTTTCCCCTGTAAATACAGTACCTAGAGAAAGTCTACACACCCCTTGCAGTCTTCACATTTTGCTGTCTTAAAATGTTATCTGAAAAGGGATTACGTTTCATTTTTTCCCTACCGATCTACACAACCTACTCCACATTTTAAAAGTCAAAGAAAAATTATAGAACAATTTCCAAATTAATACTAAATACTAAATGAAGATGTATTGATTGTGTATGTCTTCAAACCCGAGTTAATATAGCTAAATGACGTTGCCACGAGCAGCACCGCGAGATGCAAGATTTCGCTCTCGCAGTCACACACAGTATCTGCGCATGTGCACGGTCTCGCGTCACACTGTTACAGCGTGGTAGCCAGGGGACCAAAACAGCGGAGAAGTTGAGCCTCGAGCTTCAAAGCTCTTAGTTGTTGCGGAAATTGACCCACTATGCTGTTTACTTTCTGCATCTACGTCATATCACTGAGTCTACCTTTAATAATAATAAATACCATTTAGCAGATGCTTTTATCCAAAGTGACTTTTTACGTATGGGTGGCCCCAGGAATCTAACCCAAAATCCTGGCATTGCCAGCACCATGCTGTACCAACTGAGCCATACAGGACCTACTTGGTGGAAGCAACTTTGGCAGTCATTACAGCTGTGAATCATTTTGAATAAGATTCTACCAACCTTGCACAATTATTAGGGCAACATATACAGTGCATTCGGAAAGTATTCACACCCCTTGAGTTTTTCCACATTTTGTTACGTTACAGCCTTATTATAAAATGGATTAAATAAAAACATTTCCTCATCAATCTATACACAATACCTCATAGTGACAAAGCGAAAACAGTTGTTTTTAAATGTTTGCAGATGTATTAAAAATAAAAAACTGAAATACCTTATTTACATAAGTATTCACACCCTTTGCTATGAGACTCGAAACTGAGCTCAGGTGCATCCTGTTTCCATTGATCATCCTTGAGATGTTTCTACAACTTGATTGGAGTCCACCTGTGGTAAATTCAATTGATTGGACATGATTTGGAAAGGCACACACCTGTCTATATAAGGTCCCACAGTTGACAGTGCATGTCAGAGCAAAAACCAAGCTATGAGGTCGAAGGAATTGTCCGTAGAGCACCGAGACAGGATTGTGTCGAGGCACAGATCTGGGGAAGGGTACTGATATGACGTGTTTTACACAGGATTTGTTAATCTGTTCAAGCCATTTATTTATGTCACTGGTGAGTGCCATAAAGTCTGCGTGCCAGTAAGGATGGGGGGCCACTGGTCTTAATCTTAGAATGAGTATGTGATGGAATGTCCTGACTGGGGTGCAAGATGATACTATTGTAGTTGGGAGTGACACCCAATAATGGTTGACAACTGTTGGATAGAATTAGCTTGCAAAGCAGTATATAAACTGAGAGATTTTCTATGTCTAGGATTCAAATAGCAAGAAGAAACTCACGTGCCGCTTGTTGTGTTGAATCTGGTACCGTCGTATTAAATACATTGTATCAACTCTCCATCTAAGTGTTTAATTATATTATTTCATCCTGAATTCCTTGATACCACACAGAAAAAATTGGAGTGTTGAAATTCCAGGGTTAAACATTTCCGAGTTGATTTGTTGCCAGGACTGAGCAGCAAATTTGTCCTGGTGATTAGCTAGCTAGAAGTGTATGGTAAGCTAGCTAATAGTTTTACTTAAACCGTCTCCAACTTTATCAATGATTTAATAAAGGAAAAACAAAGCGTTATGTTTTTTTACTGTATAAAATCTTGTTTGAGGCTGGAGCTAACGTATTTTCCCCCCCTTCACTTTGAACATCAAAGGGGCCGCAAAAAACATGTCCCAACATGCAGACGGTGTTTCACGTGTTTAGTTGTCTGTGTGACCAGCGTACCACTGTATTTGGTGACCCATCAGATTCTATGACCTGCAGTGTTGGAAAAAGTACTCAGATCATTTACTTAAGTAAAAGTATATAAGTATTACCAGTTAATTGTACTGAAATTACTAAGTTAAAGCTAAAGTACAAAATTAGCAGAATCGGGCTGTGACTGATATATGAAACATTTAAGAGCATTATTACATACTGATGAGTCAATGTATAAGCAGCATTTTAATATCTCAGTCACAGCGCGATTTTCTGAAAATTAGTACTTTTTCCCAACTGCAGGTCACATAATCTGATGGGTCACCAAAAATGGTGTAACACTGTCGACTTAGCTTTAATCTTTACCGTTCTTCCTTTAAATGTTTATTTACTTTGTCAAACTTCCTTGCATGTCTCAGTCAAAATGCTGGTCCAGGTGAAGTACAGCCAACAGCAGAAATATGTGAAGCTGGATGAGGATGAAGGACGGTTTGACTTTATGCAATTCCATGAAAACGGTTAGCATGGCTTAGGAAAAAGGTTTTAAACCACACCCCATGTTCTTTTAAAAGCTCATTGTGCAAGCTCCTTAATGTTGTCGATTCTGATTTCTTTACATGCCTTTTTCAGACTCTTTTATACGGTAAATGGAGTTAAATTGCTAATCATTTTCAGTTCTGTAATGTGTGCTTCATATAGTGTAAAGTATTAATATACACCAAAACAGTCAATAAAAAAAGCCAATCATCAATTTTTAAATTTGGACAAATGAGGGAATGGGTTATGTGAGGGAAAACGCTCTAGGTCTATTTAAGGATTATACAGTGGTGGATGTATGTATTTAACGTGAACAGTTATTGGCTGTGAGGCAAGAAACAGTGCTGACTTCAAAGGCACATTCAGTTTGACCTTACTATCTTTTACAGTCATCGAGAGATTTTGCCTGCCACCTGATGCAAAAGTTATATACAAGGATGCAACAGGGACAGAAGTTGATGCCGAAATATTCAGCGACCTCGTTGGACAAGGCAATGTGGTGCTGACAGTATTCTCAGATCAGGGTGAGATATCAAGGCAGGTATAATAAAGCACTTTAAACCTTACATAATATAATATTTGAATTTTTTCTATTCCTTTAGAATTCTCTGATTTCTCCTTGTCTTCTGCTTCTGAGATGTCTGACTCAAGCTTCAGCTCAAGTGCATCAACTATAATCCTAGATGATGTCCCTAGCAAGAGACAAAGAACTGAGGATACACGTGATGCTGTGTCTGATGAACAGGTTTCTTAATGCTTTCTCATGTTTTTCACTCTGTCTCTAGACAAGCTATTTATCACCATGTTTTGTATTCTAATGTTTTTGTTTTTTATTAGTTGATTGAAGTTGTGCTAAGAGGCAAGTCTGGGGGTGAAGAAGTACTACAGGAGTACCAAACAACAAACCCTAACAGATGCTGCAAGAATAAAAATGGTTAACATCCTGGTGACTCACATGATTGACAATCATGGGTATGTTTGTTTCACATTGTTTTTATTTGTGCCAAATAACTGCATGGCCATTGCATAAATGTACTAATTTAATATCTCCTCTCAGGCACCGCCCCACTAAAGCAATCAGAGAAGATTATGCACGTGGGATAGTGATGTTGTTCCCTTCCCTCAAGGATCCATACTCCAAGAAGGGCTATGTAATAGGCATTATTATTGTTAACTCTTTCATGTCATGTTGTGACACAAAACTGTGTGGACGACATTGATATTTGAATTCTGTGAGATTTCGCAGGAGCCTGGTATGACGACGCATTTCTTTTCTTTTTTTCATTTCAGGAACTGCAAGCAGCACAGGATACATTTCTTGGCGTCTGAAAACAGTCCAGAGGAAGATTCGTAGAGGATCTGCACTGCCACCAAATAGCCCAATTGACTTTTCTCCAGGGGGCCCAAATTTCCAAAGGACTGTTAATGTTGAAAGGCAGCTTGATGGTGATGCTTGCCAAGACGCCATGTCTTTTCTCAACCATACCACAGACAATTCCCTGATTTTCCAGAAGATGAGAGAGACCTTTCAGCACCGTCAGAAGCTCGTTAATGACCCAGGCAGAAGTGTTGATATCCTCTCCAGCTTCGTAAGATTCCTGGATACAAAAGGATTGGTAAGTTTGGGATGAGATGTTTAGAATGGCTTGAAATGTGAAAGTATTTCCTGTAGTAGTTTAATATCTTCTTTCTTAAAGGTGGACCAAGACTTCACTCTCCTATTTGATGACGACACATCCTCCAGGCTTCTTCAGAAATGGGATTTGTTCTTCAAGCCAAATGTCATAAAAGAGGCTAAGTGGCTCACCTCAACACCAGAGTTGCGTCGCTTGGTGCAGTCAGCAGAAAGTCTCCCAGGAAGTGATCTTGATGAGGCAACAAGTGAGTAGTTTTTTATTTTATTTTGTTATAAATTTGCTATAATTGCAGTTAAACTATAACTGCAATAATATTTCATTTGTTTATTCTGTGTATCTCTGAACGTTGATCTGATTTTTGGGATAAATGTGACTAATAGATGGATGACGGTTTAGAAAGTTCTCATAATGCCTCCCTGTTCTCATTTAAACTTGAAAAGTATTACATTTGAAGAGTTTTCAGTTAATTCTTGTGACTCTTTGTCCTCAGCCTACGACCAAGAAATGGCTTCCCTGTTGCTGTTACATCTCCTTCCACCACCTCCAGGGGGACTGAAGTCTCCAAACATTAGTGCATGTGATGCAGTTGAGAGACTTGTTGTCTTTCATAAGGTAATTATATTATCAAGGTGATTATACTAATTTGTCACGTCACCTTCTTAGCCACATATGTAAATGAGGGTTGTTAAAAAGTGGATGGAATTGTAATTAAGTCTTCATTCCCATCTTGCACTAGCCAATGAAAAGATGTTTGAATAATCACTTCTATAATGTAGTTTTCTCTGTGGCTGCACATTATTCTTGTGTCTAATTTTCAGTTTTCTGATCTCAACCCTAGTCATGCTGCAGTTTGGAGGAGCATCTCTGCAACCAGCAGGGACGGCAGCCGTACCTCCTCGCTGTTGGGCGTCAGAAGAGCAAGATTGAGAGCTTCTACATCACAATGGATAAGCGCCTCATCCCATGCAAGGCAAACCGCTCCCTCGGGGCATGTGATGAACTTTTCAAAGCACATTTTGTTTAATTTGCCTTACGATGTGGCACTTGTCAATTTTTACACATTCCTGCAGACAACAGTGTATAACATTGATGTGGGGAAAATGAAGGCGTCACCCAGAGTTAAAGACTTGAGAGCGAGACTGCTCAACCAGCCAGTAACACTCTCACCCTGTGAGTAAGAAGCTATAACAATGTTGACCTGTTTCATGTGTCAGAAATATTACCCCAGCAGTCAACAGTTGATTTCACATTTAAGAGTTGAACATGGTTACTATCCTGGACCCAAGTTCAAATTGTTTTGTTCTCAGCAAGGCTGTAGGCATCAGTTCCTAACATATACAGGTTTTCGGAAGCACCTTAATAGTGTTCATAGTAATGTTCAGCAAATTGCTCAAACTTCAACTGTTGCATGTTCATCTAGTGAGCCAGTTGCAACTTCATCTCAGGCACATGCTTTGGAGGACACATTTAATCCACAAAATCAATGTAGCTCTTCCAGTGTTTGTTCTGAGAGCAATGATTCAGGACTTACTAAAGATCCAACTAAAGAAATGTGTGCATCCATCGTGGCCAAATTACAGGGGAGTGGGATTTCCAACAGTTTGGTATCCTCAATTGTAGGAGATTTGGAAGAACTAACAAGTGAGATTCGCTCACAAGCAAAGCATACAGCTATTTCTGCTTTACCTATAACTGACCCCAACATATCTGTGATAAATGAATCTTTTGAAGATTATGAAAACCCGTTCACAAATCTAAATACAGAATGGAAACGAAATAAATACTTCCACCAAAAATGGGGAGTTGTCGAGCCAGTAGAAATAACATTGTGAGTGAGATATGACAACAGGCGAAATCAGTAATCCGGTACTTATGATCAAGTACCTGTGAAGGATACTTTTATATATGTGCCGATTTTAGAAACATTGAAGTTCATGTGCAGGAATCCAGACATTAGTGTTTTGCTAAAGAAAGAGTGTAGATCAGAGCCTGACACTTATACTGACTTTTTTGATGGAAGTTATTTTAAAACCCACACTTTGTTTACAGCTAATAAACATGCATTACAAATCCAACTATACTATGATGATTTTGAAACAGCCAATCCCCTTGGCTCCAAACGTGGAATTCACAAAATTGGCTCTCCTTATTTTGTTGTAAGAAACTTTCCCCCAAAATTTTATTTGGTTTTGATGAACATTCATTTGGTAACACTTTTTCACACAAGATCTGCACAAGTATGGTTTTGATGTTATACTAGAACTGTTGATAAATGATTTGAAAAAACTAGAAAGCCAAGGGCTAAGTCTTCCATTTTCAGATGAGCAGGTATATGGTACAATCTGTCAGATCACTGGAGATAATCTAGGGATGCACACAATTCTTGGTTTTAATGAGTCATTCAGTAGCCGTCATTTCTGTCGCCTTTGTTTGATTGAGAAGAATGATTGTCAAACGGTATACAGTGAGGATGATCCTAAGGTGATACTTCGTGGAAAAGATATGTTTGAAATGCATTGCCAGTCTCTCCAGGAAAACCCACAATTGAAGTCAATTTATGGTTTGAAAAAAAGATCTACACTTAATTCATTGAAGTATTTCCATGTTTGTAATAACTATTCATTTGATATCATGCATGATCTTCTTGAGGGTGTGTTTCAGTATGAGATCAAATTGCTTTTTGGATATCTCACACAACACTTTATGTCAGAAACAGAAAACTTTATGTTAAACAGAAAACCCAAACATATGGCAGCAGATCCACAAGGTCTGCCATGAGAGGTGACTGTGTAGTTCCCCTAAGGAAAAGCACCTTTAGTAAATCTGCTTTTTCTGTGAGAGCTTCCCATGTCTGGAATACACTGCCATCAGACACACACAACTGCACCACATATCACACTTTCACAAAATGCTTGAAGACATGGCTAAAGGTCAATCAGATTTGTGAACATGGTCCCTAGCTGTGTGTTGCCGCTTTCCATGTCTGTTGTCTGTAACTTGTGAGGTGTGGAAACACTTTGTTGCTTTTATGAATTTTGTCTTGCTGCTTTTTGTTCTATGTTGCTCTGTCTGTATGCTACGTCTTGCTTGTCCTATGTTGCTATGTCTGTATGCTATGTCTTGTTCTATGTTGTTATTGTCTATATTGTAATTGTTTTTAATAACCTGCCCAGGGACTGCGGTTGAAAATTAGCCGGCTGGCTAAAACCGGCACTTTTACTGAAACGTTGATTAATGTGCACTGTCCCTGTAAAAATAAACTCAAACTCAACTCAAGAACAGGACTTGCTTTCCAGGATTTATGGTTTTGATTATGGATTTTTAGAACGAAAAAATCGTTCTACAAAGATTATATTGGAGAGTGTTGGCAATGGCATTGGTTTGAATTCTATTCAGACATTGTGTCTTGTGAAAAACATCCCACTGTTGTTTGGTGACATTATTCCTGCAGGAAACAAAAACTGGAATTTGTTACTGTTGTTACTTCAAATAATGAACATAGTTTTTTCACCTTCTCTCACTCTAGGTATGACAATATATTTAAAGCATTTGATTGTTGACCACCACAAACTATTTAAGCACTTGTATCCACATAGAAACTTGATACCTAAGCATCATTTTATGATCCATTACCCATCTTCTATATGGAAAATTGGCCCCTTATTATTTACGTGGTGTATGAGGTTTGAGGCCAAACACAAGCTGTTTAAAGATTTGTTTAAAAAATTTCAAAAACATAACCAAATCGCTTGCTAAAAAGCATCAGATGGCCATTGCTTATCACTGGGAAACCTTCACCCTCAAACAAAATGAGTATGGGCCAATTAAATATTTTATCTTCAGAGATGAGAATGTCGTCAACAATCAAATGCTTGAAACGATCTTGTCAAAATATGTTTTCTCAACTAGTTGTGTTAAAGTTGATGGTGTAGAGTATAAAGCTGGACTAGTTATTTGCAGTGCAATGGAAGAAGACATGTCAGTCTTTTGTCAAATAAGTGATGTACTTTTGGTTGAAGATCAAATTTTTTTTTGACAAACAAGCTATTTACAGAGAATTTTGATGACCATCATCATGCATTCAGAGTATTACGAAGTGCAGAAAGATGTCTACTAAAAATGTCTGAGCTTAAATTTCATAAACCGTTTGATATTCAAAGCTCATACAATGTTTCAGATGAAAGTATGTACATTATACCTTCATTCACAATGTTTTAATTCAACTGACTGCAAGGGAGAAAAGGCACAAATACATGTTTTTGACAATGATTGTTTATTGTGATTAATTCTTATTAATATAAGTATATATTTAATTAATTAATAAATAATATTGAATAAATTAACAATACATTTTAAAAAAATCTGTGTATATAATTGACACTTTAGGGAGTGAAATTAACATTACACAAATAGTTTACAAAAATTAACTCGGAGCAGTGTTAGTTGTCTAATACCTTAGTGTTACTTTAACTCTGTTTTGCGAGTTAAAAAAGGAACTCTGGGAGAGTGTTAAATGTTTTATTTTGAAAGTGTTAATTTAACTCTGGAGAGTGTGGACCTACAGTGGGGGGAAAAAGTATTTAGTCAGCCACCAATTGTGCAAGTTCTCCCACTTAAAAAGATGAGAGAGGCCTGTAATTTTAATCATAGGTACACGTCAACTATGACAGACAAATTGAGAAAAATAAATCCAGAAAATCACATTGTAGGAT